CTGGTGGAACTTGAACTGGTGGAACTTGAGCTGGTGGAACTTGAGCTAGTGGAACTTGAGCTGGTGGAAGTTGAGCTGGTCGTGGTGGTGGTCGTGTGCAGCAGCTTCAGCACAAAAAGATCGGTCCCGCCAGAATTGGTGAAACCATCGAAGGCACCCGTGGTGTCCCCGCCCACAATTAAGTTGTTGGCGTAGTCCAAGGCCAGCCTCACTACAAAGTCGATGCAATATTCCGAATGGCGGTCGGCTATTGAATGACCCCATGCCCATGATGTTTTCATGTAGCTGTTTGGACCTCAAGAATTCGACAACATAGCCAAGCGACACATACGACTGGCTGTTGCCAGATCCTTGATGGAAGGTCGTGGTGCCCAAATTTCCGTTCCAGTCCCATTGCATGACACAGGCGGCAGTAGTGCCATCAGCCTGATTCACCGACCGCGGTTGGTTCACAGAATTGTCAAAATATTGTCCAAAAGAACAAAGACCGAAGACTAATACTTGCCTTAAATTTTGTGGCGGTGCTCAAACACACCGCGCCGGTAGCGTGCCGCAGCGGCTATTTTGCCACGCCTTGGGCCACACACCTGCCTGGTATTGTGAGTGGCAGCTGCATGACCTGATGATCACACTTCCATGCCAGTCACAGCCGGGGCTGCCGGTGGTACGCATTAGTCATGTGGTTTCCATGATTATCCGTATCTTTCTTTGGCGTGAAAGTCGCCGATCATTTGCCTCATGTCAGACGTCAGACATATGTCCAGGCGGCCAGGCGCTTGTCCTTGTAGCACCATGCAAGCATGCTCTGCTTAGACTTAGACAGCCATCAGCGGAATACCCTTTCAACTCAGCATGATGGAGCCTGCGCCTCCACTTTCCCAGAACTTGAGTTTATTCATTAAGGCAAACAGGCGTCCAGAGTGGACCGTAGACCGAATTCTTCCAGCAACCGTAGCCAGCGAGTTGCTGCTCCTTTCTGTGGTAGGGCCCGGTGAAGTGCAAAAGGCAAAGATCTTGCCATTGGACAACAGTTTGCAGGCAGTCTGCATCATAGGCCATAAGCCAAATCAGGTCCATCGACCTGACACGCTGACATGCTTGCTCATCGTTAGTGTTTTGTGGCAGACGAGGGTTGGACTTGCAGCCGTTCGAGGCGATGATTGGACGAGTTCGTTCAAGTCTATGCAGGACAGGCGCTGCGAATGCCGTCATCATCTTGAGCCACATGATGCCTTGGGCTGTCTTGGGCTCTTCCAACTTCGGCCGCTTGCGCTGCACGAACTTTATGGCCTGGCGTTGCTGTGTCTGTCGCCCCAAATCATCAACATGGCACATGACCATGTGCCCATCCTTGTTGCCCAAAACATAGCAAGTGGCGCGCTCATGAGGAATCTGCTCAAATCCGGCTTGAGGAAGGTTCGGTGCCTTCGTCCCATACAGGCTTCCTGGAACAAAGCACAGGTTGACACCAGCGATGCCACCAATTTCAACGATTTCACCACCTAGTTTTTCCATCAGATGTGTGTGTGTGTGTGTGTTTCACAAGGTTCAAGCAAACTACAGGGTAAACACCTTTCAAGCTCAACACTGTGCCCACTGCTGCTTTAACACCACTTCCTGTCCAACCTTAAACATACCCTTCTCGCACCCCCCCTACCCCGCGCACTGAACGATTGTTCCATGTCACCTGCTTTAAATACCATCACACCAAGCTGTTCAAACGAGCCTTCTTGGGTGTGCTTTTTGGTTGGCGTGCAGTCTTGGAGTATTGGGGATATCAGTTTCTGCTCTCGGAACCTGGTCACAGCAAGTTCTTCACTGCATCCTCTTACCTTTCCAATCTCTTTGGCGGTGGTGTAGGAAGGGTCGACTGGAAGATCTAGAACGCTCATCACCTTGCTGACTCGAGGTTCTGGAGGAAGGCTTGACCGGTCATGGAAGACATCTCGGCATGACTCAGCATCCGCAAAGCTTCCATCAGCATTGCCATGTCGATGTCGTCCTGAGAAAGGACCATGCCGGCATTGCGCCCACGAGGCTTAGCTTCATAGCTTCCACCAGTGACCATGCCATATAGAGCTCGAAGATTTTGAAAAAGTGGAGCTTTGTCGTTCAGCCTTTGAGGGCAGAAAAGGCGCGGTGAGGTATAGGCCATAGGCCTTTGGCGTGGAGCACACATCCCGCGCTCCTCATCCTTGACTGCGGTGATCTCGCCAGCGACAAGAGTTCTAAAAGGTCGCGGTCTCCGTGGTCGGCGTCTTAGCCACGGAGCCACGACATGATCACCACTGAGCCATCTCGCCTCGGAAGCCGGCACCTTCGCCATGGTCATGCCAATGGCGTTGGTGCATCATCAAGTCCGTGTTGACCCTCACAACCGTCATCATGATCAGCAGTTGGTGATCCTGACTGATGTTGGAGTTCGCCATCTGTCCAGCCAAAATGGACTTGTTGTACCAAGCGCAAGACATACAGTAGCGGGCTTTCGCTCTTGTGGCTGTCGGCTCATGATGCCACCCGTGACAGGTCGTCCGTGCCTCATACAGCTCCTGAGCTTCTTGTGTTCTTTGTGGTTTGAAGGCCTGAAGGATTATCTTTGGCCATCTGGGCTCGGAAGGCTTTGAGCCACATACCTGGTATCGTGAGTGAAAGCTGCATGACCTGATTACCACATTCCATGCCAATGACATGCCGGCGGCTTCCGGTGGTATCCTTTTGGATCCTTGAAAAATCGCCTCCTGATGCCCTGGTCTATACCTCTGTCGACCTCTACACCTAGTCATCGATCTGCCATCTTCGCCCAGGAACGGTTCTGCCATCCAAAGCCCCATTAGTGAAGCCCGCCACCAAGACCCGGCCACCCACCATATCTGACACTATGCCGTAGGCCTGGGCAAAGTGACAAGAGACGAATGAGAAGAGACGGCCTGTAAAGACAAGCGGGTGAGATTCCCCTGAGGTGGTGGTAGAGAAACCACAGCGGAATAGGCAATAGGGACTTCGTTCGGTTCAAGCGGAAGGTGAACGGATTTTCACACAAACTACGTGATCGGGGTGAACTGGGCGATATCAACCAGGGACCGGATTTCGGGGCGCTTGGGCGATGGCCGACGATGGGCGGTGGTGCGATGGTCCGGAAAACCCGAGAGGTGAACGCGGCTGGAAGACGATGGCTGGATTAATGGCTGCCCCTCCTGACAGGCTTTGATTCGATGATTCTTAAGGTTGGTGCCAGAGCCATGCATATACCAAACCTTGATGCGCTCCACGCGCGCATGATCCATTCGTGGGTGCCGCCATGCGTAGACCAAAGCTTGATACGCCCCTCCCCACGCACCATGTCTTGCGCCTGATCATCACCTGACGTTCCATGATGGTATGTCCACTGATAAACCCCAGCGTTGCTGACTTTGAGGAGAACGATGTCAATGCCACCTGGAGCGGACGAGGGTGCCTCCAGGAGCATAGAGAGGCCTCATTTATAAGTCAAAGACTAGCTCCAAATTTTCATCCCCAAGGTGATCCCCAAGGATTTTGAGCCTTTTTAGAACTGAGCCAAGAGAAAACCAAAGAGGGGATCACATTTCTCCACCAATCCCCAGCCAGGAGAAACAACGTCTATAGCAGTGATGACGACGAAGAAACAAACATAACATGTGCCAGCACTACGGAAAGGGTGTCCATTACATTTCACTTGGTGGCTATATACAGGTTGGAAACTCTTTGCAGTTTAGTTCGTCGTCGGCAACTCAGCAACTTGACCACCCCCCAAAAAAAGGAACTCAAAAATGACCAACGTGTCGAGTAGACAACCACGGTCGATTCCACAGAGCGTGCGCAAGCGTGGTAGATCGAACAGTTTCAGTATGATTTTCTTGGGAGGGGGCTGTGTTCTTATGAGGGAAGGGACGTGTTCAACAGGCTACCACGTTCGGCCGATAGATATCTTCGAAGGGTTTCATGATGGAGAACATGCCCTTCACCTGACCAAACGAGCTCAAGGGTTCACTGCATGGAGGAAAAACACACACTTTCACTGCCACTGGATCTCGGATTGGACACCAATTCCTCATGTCATTCTCTGACACTTGGGTGCTACATGTTGCTAATTGGTTGAATGCATGTCCCCCACGGCAGCACCCCATCCATTTATAAGCGTTCCCTCAGGCTAGCATCGCCCCAAATCCTGGTCCCCACCGCAGATTTGACCACGAACTGAACCACCGGCGTTCGGACAGACTCCGCAGCTCACCTGCGTTGTTGCTGATGCCACTGTCCGTGGTGGGAAAATCCCCGTAGGTGATTCCGACCCCATAGACGTCATCGCTCGCATCCACAGTGACCTTGGAGTGCTCTCAAGCCGATCGTCCACCGGTTCGGCTTCGGCTTCGGACCCCCCCAAATGCCCCGCACTTGAAGTTAAAGGAGAAGTAATCACAACTAAAAACCATGCATGATAAACCTGGACCCAAACTTCACAGGTGCTTCCTGTGTTTCCAAGTCCGGTGCCCAGGAGAAACCACCTGAAACCACCTGTGGTCGGGTCTCCAAACATCTCCAAACAGCCGGAACCCGGGGTTCGGGTCCAGTTGGATGGTTCCCCCCCAGCCCCGTAACTCTCAACGGCCCCACCCGATGGGAATTCGGGTCGAACGATGACTTCGTTCCAAACGGTGCGCTCCGTGTGCCCATGCTCAGTCCGGCCACGACCTGGGTCGTGCCAGCGGGTTTACGCTCAGGGTCCGGAACCTATCCCTCATGTAACCCTCCAAACATTGGTTTGCG